ACCAGAAGCCAGGGGTGCACAACCACTCCTGCATCAGGTATGTTTTGTGACTGTGCCTGTGATGAAGTCTTCCTTGAAGACATTTGTCAGAATCAAAGGGACTGTGGGGGTTTGTTGAAGCCAAGATAGGGTCTGCTAGGCCCAGTTCAAAGGAGGAAAATGGACTCAAAGGTCAGAGTTTTCCATTGCCCCTTCATTGGAAATTAGTGTCTTCTCCCCCAGCAGCCGATCCTTGACTCTCATCATTACATCATTTCCCTGACTGACCCATTCCTACCTAGGTGATATTTAGATATGAAGTGTCACCACTCCCCCCCCCAAAAAAAAGTTCATTAGTTGAAGCCTTGTTCCCCAATGCCACATTCACCAATGTGGCATTGGGGAAGTAACTGGATCATGAGAAGGCTCTGACATAATCAAGGGTTAATCCCCTGATGGATTCATAATTGAATGGACTATTGGGAGATATGGAAACTGGAAGTTGGGGCCTGATGGGAGGAAGTGAGTTGCTGGGTTATATCTTGTCTTCAGCCTCTTTCTCTGTTTCTTTCTGCATCCTGGCTGCCATGAGGTAAGCAGTTTCCTCTGCCATGATGTTTCTGCCTTGCCACAGGATGAAAAGTAATGGAGCCAGCTGACCATGGTCTGAAACCATGAGCCAAAAATAAACATTTCCTCCCTTAAGTTCTTTTGTCAGGTATTTCTTATAGTGATGAAAAACTGACAACATAGTGATCCACAAAGGAATCTAATGGGCCCCTCCTCATACCATGAAATGGTTACCATGAGGGCATTGGAAGAGACCCATAGTTTTTATAAATTGGTTCCCAAGGGAAGAGTAGAAGCTGGTTCTCTGAACCTTGCTAACCCCCCTCCTCCCTCCTGTCACCATAGCTTGGCTTTCAAGAGTTTAGCCCTGAAAATGCACACACATGTGCCACAAGCCTGGAGTTCATGTCACAGTATATTAGTGCCCAAATATCTGATGTAACAGTTTGAGAGGAGGAAATTTTTATTTTGGTTTCAGAGATGTAAGTCCATCATGATAGGGTGTGTGTGGCACAACAAAGAAGTTCACATCATGGCAGCCAGGAAGCAGAGAAAAGGGAATACAAAGGGAGGCCATGGCAAGAGATAGCTCCAGGTACATGCCCCCATAACCTACTTCCTCCAACTAGGCCCCACTCCTGTCTTTCACTACTTCCCAATAATATCACATGTGTACGTCAAACACTTAATCCGTGATCTAATTGTCTCTGGAATTACCACCAATCTCTGAGGCATCTCTCAATCCAGTTATGTTGTCAACAAAGATTTACCATCATACACAATGACTTCCCCATATGATTGTCTAGGCTTCTGGCAGCAGGAAATCTCTCCAGTAGTGGAAAGAGATTGGGCTCTGGATTGTTCCTTCCGAAAGTTCAATGAGATGGTTTGGGGATCTAAGGATTTGCAGAGGGTTGTGTTAGCTTTCTGTCACTGTGACAAAATATCTGAAATATTCAACTTAGAAGGAGGAAAGAATTATTTTGGTTCACAGTGCTTAGGGATGCAAGTCTGTGGTCAGTTGATTCCATTACTTCTGCACCTTGGCAGGGCAGAATATAATAGAGTGTGATAGAGGAAAGCACTCAGCTCATGGCAGCTATGAGAGAAAAAAAAGGGGGAAAGGGCTGGGATCCCTTTCAGTGGAGGTGCATGAGCAGGCACATGCTCAGTTGAAGAGCTAATCTGAACTCCTGAAAGGCAGGCTGGGAAGTGAAATGAGGGGGCTGAAGTTCTCTGAAGGAGAGGACTAGGAAGGTCAGAAGAGGCAGATGAAACTAGCTGAGTGGGTGGTGAGGCAGAGTGAGTGAAGATCTCTGAGTCTTTTAAGTGGAGGTGTCAGGACTGAATCAAGCAGAACCTCCTTTGTCCTGTATTCAAAGTCAGCTGTGAGGGGTCAATCTGGTTTCAGGAGAAACTCATTGCATTCTCAACAAAACAGGCTCTATACCAAGGTCTTAACATTTCCTTCCAGGGGAAGAAAATTCTTATAAATACAGAAAGCTGGGAAAGATCTGTCAAATGAATGTTCAAACCAGAGGGTGAGAAAGAAGTACTGTGCAGGGTCTTCCACTGTGCAAACCCATCCAAAACTGTCAGTGGTCATTGCTTTGCACAGCAAGGAGCAAAATGGAGTCTGCAAAACCAGAAGAAATGCACTCACTCTATGTCTCTCCTGTACCCTCTACTAGAAAAGCTTCACATTGCACCTGATGCCAAAAGAAATACAGGTGTAAGTATATTATTGGAATGGTGATGGATTTGAAGTCAAGAGATAGTAAATTCTCTATGCAAGCCTTTCTTCTCATAGGATCCAGATAAGGTTCCCTCATGGTTCTCTTTTTTCTAGTACCACTTGCCTTTTCTGCAAAGGAAAAAAAAAAAATCAAGTTGTACCTTTTAAAGTAAAATTTTTAGGTAGGGGATGTAGCTCAATGGTAGTGTGCTCATTTACCAGGTGCAAGGCCCTGGGTCTGATCCCCAGCACCACACACACACAAATCTCCTCTTCAGTACATTTTTGGTCCTTTAATTGATCAGTGTCCTCTGGTATTGAACTAATATAGTCTTTATCCACAGCACTAGCTCCATAGCATCTACTAGGTCTTGTTTGTATCAGTTCCACCAAATTTTCCCATCTCTGATACCATGTCCCTGACTCAAGTGTGAGCTCTCAACAAAGCAGTGATGTGTCTATACCATCATGATTCTCCTATAGCAATGATGGCACAGGGTGATGACCCCACTCAGAAAGGACAGAGAACTATTACACGTGGTTCTATGGGAGTCCAATAGAGGACTTTGTACAAAGGATGACATGCATAGTACTGAAATAAGGTAAAATGAGAAAAATGGAGGATGTCAGGACATTACTTTGGGATAGGTTAAGATGGGGGAGAACGTGATCTTCACTCTTCTGAGGATCAGCAGACACTGTCCTAAGTTGGGGAAGTGATAAGTGGGTCACAAGACGTCCTGAATTGAGGGAGTAATGGTGAGTCCTTAAGATTCAGTGCTGGCAGAGGGAAAGGTTGGGGGAGGGGGACAACAGATCATCAGATACTGTGAAGACTGGGGAAGGACAGCTCAACATGGACCAGTAGATAGGGACTTAAGCTAGGATAATGGAATATGTCACTAAGCATGGCCCAATTAGGGGCTAGAGGGTTAAAGGGAAATCTCCATCCCTGCCCACTCAGCCAAGTTGTCCCTTGGCCTACAGCCTCACTTCTTCATGTCACAAAGACCATCTCTGCACAATCCATCTCTTTCCCATTCCCAGCATTGCCAAGACACAATCGTTCTGCTGCTCCTGTTGGGCATCCCAGAACCTGACATTCAACTGGAACATGCAATACCATCTCTGAGCATCACCACCTATGCTGGGTTGGTAAGCTAACTTTCAAGGAAGCTCCAGTCAGCTGCTCTTGGCCCTTCCATTCTACTGACTTCAGGCACACCTGTCAAGGAAGGATAAACAGGTCTGTAGTTCTAGTGGATAGGACCCTGTCCACATGCAGCTTTGGTGGGATAGAGATGTGCAAAGTAGTTTGTGGGCTTTTCTTCAATCACTTTGGGGCTGATACTTTGGGATTTCAGAATCACAGCAGAGAATCCTAGAATCATCCACATGGAATTTCCTATACCAGTTCCCCCTTTTCCAAAAGGGTTAGTAAGGGTCATTTTAAGGCCGGAAAGTGAAAAAGTAAAGACTGGAACTGAAAAAGCCTGGTGTGTTTCAGACATGTTGGCTCTTGCTATTGGAGGTTCATATCCTGCAATATAGAAGTGATGGGAGAGAACACATAGTATAAGAACTGACACTTCAGTGTGCACTTACGACACTCCTGAAGTACGAGAGGCATGGATCGAGCCTCACAGTGATGAACAAAACAGAGAAAAACATTCTAATTTGTGATCCATGGACAAATAAGTAAAATACACAAGGCATCATGACAGTCAATGCTATGGAGAATGAAAGAAAAAGGGAAAGGAGCTGGCATTTTAAACAAGCTAAGCAAGGAGAGGCAGAGAAGGGGTGAGGAAATGTCGGAGAAAATACATAAGGAGCAAGTTCCATAGATACAATGACAAGCTGGGCTCTTTGCAGAGGTACTGAAAATGCAAAGTCCCTGAGGAAGGAACTAATGTGTTTTGAGACACATGGGAGAGAAGATCCTTGTGGAGAGCATGTTGTAAAGATGGACACAGAGCAGACTGAACATATATTCTTTGTTTTAGTGATACTGATTTTATGAAAATCATTAAGAAGGCAAAATGAATGTGAAGAACTGTAACACAGGATGATTTTTTTTGGTGATATTGAAGTTTGAACTCAAGGGTTAGGGTCTATACCACTTGAGCGACACTCCTAACCCCCACGCCCTTTGTATTTTTTCTAATAGCGTCTCTCATTTTTGCATGGGCAGGCCTGAAATTCCTGCCATGTAGCTGGGATGACATGTTGGCACGTTACTGGTTGAGATGAGGGTCTCACTAACTTTTTCCCTAGACTGGTCTCCATGATCCTCCCAATCTCGGCTTCCTAAGTACTGGGTTTACAGAAATGAACCACAGCACCTAGCCCAAAGCGAGATTTAAATTGACACAGATGACGTGAAAATTCTTACTTCAAGAAACTTTCTTGAAGGCAATGGGAGCTCAAGAGACAGTATACTGGGGATCAGAGACAATGTGCTGATGACTTGAGGCGCAAAGACACTGTTAGTGCTAATGAAGTGGGTTACAAGCCACATCATTAGCAGATGACAAATGGGGATTTCACATACACTGTATGTGTAAGTATACATTGGGAACATCTTTTATTGTGGTATCTCTTTCTTGATAGTACTCAATGAGATTGGATATGCACAAATGTGTTAGATTCCACTGAAGAGTGCAAACACACAATAGACAATGTATTCTGCAACAAATAAATTACATAATGAGGAACTATTGCTCATATAATGTAGTTCTACCATTCAGTTTGCTGGTACTGTATCTATTACACCAACAGGGTTCTCATTAACATGACTTAACCTTTCCTATGATGAATTTAGTAACAGCATTCCATCGTATTTTTCACAAAAAGCCTTCTTCTAATGCATCAAATTGACTCAGTTTCTTCTCAGCATGTATGCCCCCAGGGGTTATTGATGCTGATGACAATGTAAAAAGTCCCCACCCCACTTGTGTCTTTTCAGAGATCCTCTTCTGAACAGTAATGTGTGACATTCTGATGTGGGCATTTCTACTTACAAGACTATACATATTGTGCTGTTGTGTGGATTCAATAATTCACAATGAGACATGTCCTCAGTATTTCCTCACACTGTTGCTTTTAAGTGTGAATGCTCTGATGCACACTGAGCACTGATTTCTGAACAAAGCCTTTCCCACAGACTGCACACTTATAGGGTTTGTCTCCAGTGTGTGTTGTTTGGTGCTTATTCAAATTTGATCTGTCAGTGAAGGCCTTCCCACACTCAGCACACACATAAGGCTTCTCTCCTGTATGAATTCGCTGATGCACTTGGAGCTGTGATTTCTTCGTGAAAGATTTCCCACAATCCCTGCATTCATAAGGCTTCTCCCCAGTGTGAATTCTATGATGTGTTATCAACTCTGACTTTTGTCTGAAGGTCTTCCCACACTCAGAACAGATGTAAGGCTTCTCTCCAGTATGAGTTTTTTGGTGTTTACTGAGGTTTGACCTGCCACTGAAAGCCTTTCCACACTCCGCACACACATAGGGTTTCTCACCTGTGTGAATTGGCTGATGTACTAGGAGCTGAGACTTGGAGGTAAAGGATTTCCCACAATCACTGCATTCGTAAGGTTTCTCTCCAGTATGAATTCTTTGATGTGTAATGAAATTTGACTTTCGGATGAAGGCTCTTCCACAGTCAGTGCATACATAGGGTTTTTCTCCTGTATGAATTTTCTGATGTACAATGAGTATTGATTTCTGGTTGAAGGCTTTCCCACATTCATGACATTCATACTGTCTCTCTCCAGTATGAATTTTCTGGTGTATATTGAGGTGTGACTTCTGGGTGAAGGCTTTCCCACAGATACTGCATTTGTAAGGTTTCTCTCCAGTATGAATTCTCTGATGTGTAATCAAGTCTGACCTCTGAGTGAAGGCCTTTCCACATTTAGAGCATATATAGGATTTTTCTCCTGTATGAGTTTTCTGATGTGTGATGAGATTTGATCTGTTGGTAAATGCCTTCCCACATTTATTGCAAATATAGGGCTTTTCTCCTGTGTGAATTCGTTTATGCACATGGAGTTGTGACTTGGAGGTAAAAAATTTTCCACAGTGAGCACATTTATAAGGTTTCTCTCCAGTATGAATTATTTGATGTGCAATCAAGTGTGCCTTTTGGATGAAGGCTAGCCCACACTTTACACACACATATGATTTTTCTCCTGTATGGATCCTCTGGTGCACTGTGAGTGCTGACTTCTGAGTGAAGGCTTTTCCACAGTCACTGCACTCATAAGGTTTCTCTCCAGTGTGAATTCTCTGATGTATAATTAACTCTGACCTGTAGGTAAAGGCCTTTCCACATTCAGTACATATGGAAGATTTCTCTCTAATCTGAACTTTCTTGTGTGTACTGAGGTTGGAAGCATTACTGAATACCTTCCCATATTCAGTACATATATAGGGCCTCACTCTTGTATGAATTCGTTGATGTACCTGGAGTTGAGATTTGGAAATAAAGGATTTCCCACAGTTATTGCATTTGTATGGCTTTTCTCCAGTGTGAATTCTTCGGTGTGCTACCAAGTGTGTCTTCTGGATGAAGGCCTGTCCACATTCAATACATACGTAGGATCTCTCACCCGTATGAATTTTCTGGTGCATCTTGAGTGTGGACTTTTGTGTGAATGCTTTGCCACAGTCACTGCATTCATGGTGTCTCTCTCCCGTATGAATTTTCTGATGTATACTGAGATCAGAGTTATAGGAGAAACCTTTACCACATTCACTGCATTCATAGAGTTTTTCTCCAGTGTGAATTCGCTGATGTCTAAAAAGAGAAGATACTTGGAAAAAGGACTTTCCACAATCGTTGCATTTATAGGGCTTCTCTCTAGTGTGAGTTTTTTGATGTGTAATGAATTCTAGCTTCTGTACAAAAGCCTTCCCACATTCAACACATACATAGAGCTTTTCTCCTGTATGAATGTTCAGATGTACCTTGACCTGTGACTTCTGAGTGAAGATCTTTCCAAATTCAGCAAAGTCATAGGATTTCTCCCCAGTATGAATTTTCTGATATTGATAAGGTACTTGTTTATGGCTGAGGAATTTTCCACGTTGATTATGATCCCACAATTTCTCTCCTGTTAGACTGTAGGAAGAAATTTTACCACATTCAGCAATCTTCTTAATGCTCTCTGATGCATTATTCCTAATATGACTTTGTAAGTCTAACTTGTATTTCAAGCCATTCCCAAATGAATTACATTGGTGGGATCTTTGGGGAGGAGGAATAATCTTTGGGTACACAGGAATTATTTTTCTAATGTCTTTATACTCATAATGACTCCTTGTACTCAAGCTATTCTTGATGAAAGCAATGTTACTTAATGGTTTATCTTCTGTGTGCTGGTAGATCTCTTTCTGGTAACCAATATGTCGCAACTCTAAAATGAGATACAAGAAAACATCACTTGTAAAATCTTCTTGTTCAATGTGGAAAGAAGCTTTTTCAGAGTTCTTTGCTAAGATCTGAAACCCAACCTCCCCTTCTCAAAGGAGAAAAAAGTGATAGCAGAGGCTAAGAGGGCAGGGTGAAAATGGCTCATTTAGGTTGAACACAGAAAAGGGTAAGGGTGAAAAGGGTGGTGAGAGGAAACATGTAGGTTTACAATTGTTAGTGGAAATAACTAGGTACACATATTACACTAGGGGCAGATGTGAAAAAAGTAAGGCAAAGAACAACATATACAGGGCAAAATGACATATAACAAATGACACACATCCCAAATTTACTTTAAATTTGATAACATGCATGAATTTGAAAATGTTTCCAACATATAAAACATTGACCTAAGGAAGGAAGGGAGAAGGATATGGGGAAAAGACAGAAACATGAATGAATCAAAAAATAGAAGGGAACACTTATTGAGACTCATGATGATCAGACTTAAATTAAGGGTTATGATTAAACTCAAACCTTATCAGAAATAAAGCAACAACAACAAAAAAAATCAACCAGGCAGAGACCCTCTAGTCGAGGTAGAATCACTCCAACAGCATTAGAAGGAAGCTTAAGGAAGGGTGATTAATAATGTCAAACACAGTACATAGGCACTCCCAAAGTTTAAGTGACAATGACCCCAGAGTTATCAGTTGAATGAAAGGCATGGGAAATTCAGAAGTGAAAAATCTCATGAAGTACCCACAGAGAAAACAGGAAGTCAGCTGGGTTAGAGATAATGTTCTAAGGCATCTCAAAGTGAGGAAGAAAGGAGTAGAAGATGTTTGTGTCACATAGTAATTTTGAAAGAAAGAAGAGCTGTAAGTGCCCAGGATGTATAAAGAAACATACTAGGAACATAAACATAAAGGAAAGGTAGAAAAAAGAGCAAAAGAACAAAATCAAGACAGAATGATATTTAATGAAACAGATTAGCATATGATCTTAAATCTACAACTCCAAGGAAGAAGACAGATATTACAAAGATCATCTAGGTAGAAGGTATTTCATTATCTGAGTGGTCAATGTTAAGGGTAATCAAACAGTACAGAAAATTTAGAACCTTCCAGAAGAATCATCTTAACAGCATTTCAAAGATGGCAGGCTTTCTCCAGACAGATGAGAAATGTTCTCTTGCTTTGCTGAGATTCCCTTGTCTCCCATCTGCCAAGATCTCACTCACCTGGACAGCTCTGACGTAGGCTCTCACCCTGCAATGCCCATGGCTCCTTTTCTTGTTCTGGCATGAAAACCTCTGGCTTGGGAACTTGGTACCCTGTTCATGGGAAATAATAAAGGATGGGTCCAGCTAGTCATGTTGCAGGACCCAGTCAATAACATCTTATTGCTCAATGAGGGTTTGTTCTTTAGAAAGGTACCCCATATCTCCATGAACTGAGCATTACTAAGAGTACCCAAAGGAGATAAAGAATCCTGGACAAAGCAAGGACAAAACCATCACATACTGAAGGTGCCTCACAGCAGTCATCCACTTGAGAATGGAAACACTCAGCCAGGCCTCTTTTTAGATACCAAGGAGACAGTACTTACCTACTGAGAGCAGGTGTCTGTAGGTCTCTTGCATCACATCCCGGTAGAGGTTTCTCTGAGCAGGGTCCAGGTGCTGCCATTCCTCTCTGCTGAAATCTATAGTCACATCCCTGAATGACACTGATTCCTATAAGGACAAATTTCTGTTTAATGTGAATTGTTAGCTTTGGGAGATAGAAAAACCATATATAGGAATATGGAACATGGGACTTGCTGTTTTTAACTTAACTCCTCTTTTTAAAGCTCACCCCTGGAGTGTGAGGCCAGCAAGATGGATGAATAGAAACCATAGCACTCATCCCACCAGCAAAGATAGTCAAAACAACTATATTTTGAAGACAATAACTAAAGAAGAGTCCTGGAGTACATCCTAGTAACAGGAACCCTACAGAGCACAAAAACGCATGATGGCCACATAAAGATCAAAGGCAATGCCTCACCTCTGCCCAGCCCATAGTAGCATTCAGCTCAGAACTCAAAGTGATATGTGGGGAGAAGGTAAGCAAGAGGACCCCAGTAACCATCTGCACCCTCAAACCTATAGTCCTCACTATTGGGGATGTTGCCATAGCTGCTAAATGTGGCTAACAGGGTTGATGAGAATCTACACAGTTACACTCACCCCCAAAAAGGAGCTGACACTGTGACCTGCTCTCTATGGTCCACGTGGACACTGTACTACACCATGTCGCTCCAAGTATGAGCAGCCACAGCACCCTTCCATCTCTTAGGCCTAGCTGCCACTAAACTACTACATCTGCCTGGTGGCCCACCATCCCTGAAACAAGTTACTACTACCTCTCACCCTGTAGGACCAAACTATCATGGCATCATTCCAGCTGTTGTTGTGCCCTCCCCCCTCAAAGGCCTGAGCTGAAGTAATACCCAAGCTGTCTTCCAAGGGAAACAGTTTTTTGGCCACCAAGAACAGTCACACTTCTTGTGCCTGAGCTGAAGCGGGACATCACTTCCCAAGAAATTGGTTCCTTGGCAAGTACACAGGGATGCATCCAAGCTAAGCTGACATGGTATCCCATGTCCCAGGGAAGCAGCATCGGCTAGGCTGAGATACTGTCCTTCCCTGCTTCTCTGGAATTGGATGAGTCTGAGCTGGTGAGACACAACTATGACCAAAGAGTGCAGTCATCACTCTGCTTCTACAAGGCCCAAGCATTGTACCCTACCATTCCAGTGCTTGCTGCAGTTGCACTTGGCCCACCACCCCAGGGTCCAGTCACCACTATGCAATGGATCATCCCTGGGGGCACAAGTTGTCTGTGCACTATTAGCTCTAGTTCCTAAATTGCAACTGTACCCTGCTCCTCAAGTCCAACCCTTGGGTAGGGCCAGTGCTGTGGCTTGCTCTAAGGTCACAGTCATAGCCATAACCCCAACCCTGGGCCCATACTGCTGGAGGTGCCTCACAGTTTCAGGCCCCAGCTTCATGAGCAAACTGCATCCAACTCTGCCTTGAAAGTGAACCTGTACCTCCAAACTCAGGTATCCTGAGCCCAAGAGCCCCTGAGCCCAGGTACATACCTTGGGGACATACGTCATGGAACCCAGTGCTGTTTTAGATGCTTGTGGACTATGTTGGACCTGATGCAGATAGAACATCTCAGCTAAGATTCATCACTATGAGGATAATGAGAAAGGAAGATCCCCAAAGCCCTTGTTACTGAGGATCCTAACAACCTATGCTGCTGTCACCACTGAAACAAACTCCAACAGCCTAGGTCACTGAGGCACCCAAAGACATTGCGATGTTGATCAGAGCCTATACTACTGCATCTATTTGAACCAGAGCTGCCATACCCTTATCAACCAAAACACTAAGACTCATCTGTAGGCAAAAGTCACTCCCTAAAAGAGCCACTCTGTAAAGTGTAGAAGAGGTAATCTTTGTATCAGATATGCAGACATCAACACAGGGACATGAGAAAAATGAAAAGGCAAGAAAAAAGACACTATCGAAAAATTATATATTATCTGAACTCAGAAAGTGAAAATTGCCTGAAAAGGAATTAAATATAATTATCTGAAGGAACAGTAAGATATGAGAGAATACAGATAGAATATGCAATAAAATGAAGAAAACCATTTATGATCTGAATGAGAAATTCAATAAAGACATAGATATCATAAAAAGGAAACAAACAGAAAATTCATACCTGAATAATTCAATAAATGAAATTAAAAACACAATGGAAAGCTTCAAAACCAGAGTAGATCACAAGAAGAATTTTTGAACCTGAGGATAAAGTCTTTTGAAATTATCCAGAGAGGGGAAAAGAAAAGAGAACGAACAAGAGTGAAGACTGCCTATAGAACTTATGGGACACCATAAAGCAAGCAAATATTCATATTACCTGAGTGGCAGAAAGAGACAAAACATAGAGACAGTATGTTTATTTGATGAAATTGTTGCTAAAATTTCCCCAAGTCTTGGAATAGACAAGGACATCCAGATTCATGAAGCTCCCAAGTTTCCAAACAGACGCAACTCAAAAGAGGTCCTCTTTGAAGCACATGTGAAGTCAAAGGCAAAGAGAAAATTTTGAAAGCAGAAAGTGAAAAGCATTAATTACAAATATGGGAATCCCCATTAGATGATCAGAGAATTTCTCAGTAGAAACCTTGTAGGTTAGGTGAGAATAGGATGATACATTCAAAATGGCTGAAGAAAAAGCCATGAATGCTATACCCAGGAAAGATGTTCTTAAGAAATGAGGGGAAAATGAAGTCTTTCCATACAAGCAAAAGTTGAAAAACTCATCAGCACTAGACGCCCTACAAGAAATACTGCAGGGAGTTCTTGAAGTGGAAAGAAAGGATACTAATTACCAATAGGAAAATAAACAATTCACCAGTAAATGTAAACACACAGTCAAGTATTCTAATACTGTTACAGTGCTGTGTAAGTGATATGTATCTGTAGTATGAAAATTAAAAGTAAAAGATGATCATTACTACTAGTTTGGTTTTTTTTTGGTGGAACTGGGTTTTGAACTCAGGGCTTCACACTTGCAAAGCAGGTGCTCTACCACTTGAGCCATGCCTTCAGTCCGATCATTACTGCTATGGCTTAGGTATAATTTGAGTGCCCTAAAGGGCCTTACGTTAACAGCTTGGTTCCTAGGTGACAACTATTGGGAGGTGGTGGAACATTTAAGGCCTTTTGATAGGTCCTTGGGTTATAGGGGACATGTCCTTAAAAGAGATTGTGGGACACCACCCTTTTTCTTTTATTCCTTCCTATGATGTGACCATTTGTTCGGACACATGCTCCTGCCATTACCATCTCTGCCATGAGGTGATGCAGTAAAGGGATAGTCCGCAACAAGCCTGTATACTTTGTTGTTTGGATTTTCAACCTCCAAAATTGTGCTAAATAATTACCCTTTTATCATTATAAAATTAATTGCTTTGGGCATTTCATTGTAGGAATGTGAAGCTAAATGATACAACTGCAGTACATTATTAAGAAATATATATTATAAAATAATGTAAATTAAGATACCAAAAATATTAAATTGTGGAAAGACAGGTAAAAGTCTAGAGTTTTTGTATGTTACTGAAGTTATCATTGTAAGATAGTCTATTATAAATATAGACTTTCTGCAGAGTGTTTGTCTAGCATGTACAAGGACTCATTTTGATCCTCAGCACTATAAAATAATTAAATAATGGGGAGTTGTATCCAAGCTTCATGATAACCACAAAGCAAAAAGTCATAGCAGATATACAAACAACAGAAAGTAAGGAATCAAAACTTATACTATAGAAACTCACCAAACACAAAGATCAACAACAAAAGTTGTAAAAAGGAGCAAAAGATCTTTAAACAAGGGCCAGATGTGGTGGTGCATGCCTCTAATTCTAGCTACTCAAGAGGCAGAGACAAGAGAACAATGGTTTAAGGCTAACCTGGGCACTAGCATAAGACCTTATCTGAAAAAGAAACTGAAAGCAAACGGACTGGGGTCTGGCTCAAGTGGTAGAACACTGGCAAGCACAAGGCCCTGAGTTCAATACCCAGTGCTTCCCCCAAAAAAAGAAAACTAGAAAACAACAAAATGGTAATAGTCTTTATCAGTAATTACTTTTAATATAAACAGACTAAATTCCAATCAAAAGAGACCAAGGAGCTAAATGAAATTTTTAAAAGATCCAACTGAACACTGCCTATAAGAGACCAAACTTTGCCCTTAAAGACACGCATCAGCTAAAAATGAAGAGATGAAAGAATATCCTATGCAAATGGTAAACAAAAGAAAGCAATACTTATATCAGTATAGATTTCAAGTTAAAAACACTTGCAAGAGACAAAGAAGTCAGTATTTTAAAAAGGACTTGATGCATCAAGAGGACATAAAAGTGTACATATATATGCACCCAACATCAGAGCACCAAAATAGATAAAGCAAAGGTAAATGGACATGATGAGAGAAACAGATTGTAACACTGTAACAGTAGTTATGACTTTAATGCCACATTTTCAATAATGGAAAAATCACTAGGCAGAAAACAAGAATACACTAGAATTGAACTTCAGAAAAAATGGGCCCGAAAGATACACAAAACTTTCTATCCAACACAGCAGAATACACGTTCTTTTCAATTATATATAGAATATTATCTATAAGGTAGGTCACAGAACAAGTCTTAATAAAGGTAAGACCGAAATCATACCAAGTACTGTTTTTGACCACAATGGTATGCAACTAGAAATCAGTAACAGGAGGAATTTGAGGAAAATTCACAAATATGTGGAAATTAAACAACACCTTCTGGAACAACCAAAAATTTAAAAAATCTAGAGACAAACAACAATGGAAACATGACATACCAAATCCTCTGGGATTCAGCTATAAACATAAAGTTTATAGCTATAAATGCTTACACTAAAAAGGAAAGATCCTAAATAAAGAGCCTAACATTGTGCCTTAAGAAATTGGGAAAAGATCTAACTAAACCCAAAGTTACCACAAGGAGAGAAATAGTAAAGATCAGAGCAAAAATTAAATCAAACACAGAAAGAATAATCATACAAAAGATAAATGAAACTGTTAAAACCTTAGCTACACTAAAAAAGGGAGAGAGAAAAGACTCAAATATATATAATCAGAAACGAAA